ACTTACAAGTCCAGGAAGCGCAGAGAACCCCAAACAAAAGGAATCCAAAGGGACCACACCAAGACACATCATAATTAAAATGCCAAGAGCAAAAGACAAAAAGAAAATCTTAAAAGCAGCAAGAGAAAGAAACTCAGTTACCTACAAGGGAATACCCATATGACTGTCAGCTGATTTCTCCAAAGAAACTTTGGAGGCATGAAATATTCAAAATGATGAATACCAAGAACCTACAACCAAGATTACTTTATCCAGCAAAGCTATCATTCAGAAGTGAAGGTCAAATAAAGAGCTTCACAGATAAGGAAAAGCTAAAGGAATTCATCACCACCAAACCAGTATTATATGAAATGCTGAAAGGTAACCTTTAAGAGGAAGAAAAAGAAAAAGGTAAAGATACAAATTATGAACAACAAATACACATCTATCAACAAGTGAATCTAAGAATCAAGTGAATAAATAATCTGATGAACAGAACGAACTGGTGATTATAATAGAATCAGGGACATCGAAAGGGAATGGACTGACTATTCTTGTGGGGGAAAGGGGTGTGGGGGATGTGGGAAGAGACTGGACAAAAATCGTGCACCTATGGATGAGGACAGTGGGTGGAGAGTGAGGGTGGAGGGTGGGGTGGGAACTGGGAGGAGGGGAGTTATGGGGGGGAAAAAGAGGAACAAATGTAATAATCTGAACAATAAAGATTTAATTTAAAAAAAAGGAATTACACCCCAATTTCGCATCCTTTTTCACTTGCAACTTTTATGTACCTTGGAGTTGAAGTCTTTTAACTTTTAACAGTATATATATATATTTACTGTTATATATGTGTATATATATGCTGTTATATATATATATTTTTTATATATATGATATTTTAATATATTTTTTTTTATTTCAGAGAGGAAAGGAGAAGGCGAGAGAGATAGAAACATCATTGATGAGAGAGAATTGATTGGCTGCCTCCTGCATGCCCTAATTGGGGATCGAGACCGCAACCCAAGCATCTGCCCCTGACCAGAATCAAAACCAGGACCCTTCAGTCCACAGGCTGATGCTCTATCCCCTAAGCCAGTGATGGCAAACCTTTTGAGCTCGGCGTGTCAGCATTTTGAAAAACCCTAACTTAACTCTGGTGCCGTGTCACATATAGACATTTTTTTAATATTTGCAACCATAGTAAAACAAAGATGTCTACTTTTGATATTTATTTTATATATTTAAGTGCCATTTAACACATAAAAGTGAAAAATACATTATATAAATGTTTCCATGCATATTTTTGATATTTATTTTATATATTTAAATGCCATTTAACAAAGAAAAATCAACCAAAAAAATGAGTTCGCATGTCAGAGGTGTCATAGGTTCGCAATCACTGCACTAAGCCAAACCGGTTAGGGCAACAGTATATATATATTTTAAGGCCAATCTCTTTTTTTTTTTTTTTAAATATATTTTATTGATTTTTTACAGAGAGGAAGGGAGAGAGATAGAGAGTTAGAAACATCGATGAGAGAGAAACATCGATCAGCTGCCTCCTGCACATCCCCCACTGGGGATGTGCCCGCAACTCAGGCACATGCCCTTGACCGGAATCGAACCCGGGACCTTTCAGTCCGCAGGCCGACGCTCTATCCACTGAGCCAAACCGGTTCCGGCTAAGGCCAATCTCTTAACTGTCATGATTATTCATGTGTTTACTTGGATGCCTAGTATTTGAGATTCTACCCTCTTATGTTGCATTATTTATGCAGCCTTTTCTAACCTTTTCTTTTGCATTTCTTGTGTACCTGTTTTTTGTTAACTCTGATAGTGTTAAAGTAGCTAATACAGCTGAAAGGTAATCCCCACCTTCTTGCGAAATACAAAACCCCCATTCTGTTCTGATATTTAACATTTTAGTTCTAATTATTTTATATCTCTCAAATTAGGGAGTTAAAATGTTTATCCAGATATGTATCAGTTTCTCTGATGATCTGCTTCTTGAGAGAGTTTTCTGGAATATAACTTTCTTAGTGTTTGCTTCTCTCTCTTTTTTTTAAAAAAAATATATTTTATTGATTTTCTACAGAGAAGAAGGGAGAGGGATAGAGAGAAACATCGATCAGCTGCCTCCTGCACACCCCCCACTGGGGATGCGCCTGCAACCAAGGCACATGCCCCCGACCGGAACCGAACCCGGGACCGACGCTCTATCCACTGAGCCAAACCGGCCAGGGCAGTGTTTGCTTCTCTTAAGTAACTTCTTTTTTGTGTGTGTGTTTTTGTTGGTGCTGTTAATCCTCACCTGAGGATATTTTTTCCATTGTTTTTTCCAGAGGATGAAAGGGAGGGAGGGAGAGAGGGAGAGAGAGAGAGAGAGAGAGAGAGAGAGAGAGAGATGGAATTACCACCTCCCACATGTTCCTCAACCAGGAATCAGGTAGGTGCCCTGATAGGGAATCAAACCCACAACTCTTCAGTGTGTGGGCAGAAGCTCTAACCACTGAGAACACCATCCAGGGCTTGAGTAATTATTTTTAAAATTGTGTATGAAATCCCTCATTGCTGGTTATTCCGTTTTAGCACTTGCGGTGACGCTTTCCTCCATATCTAGCGTCCCTTGCTGCTAGTCTGTTTCATGGGTCGTCTCTTCTCTGTGGCTGTTCTCATTCTCACTACGATGTGTTTGGGGCACGGGTGCCTTTTTTTCATCCTGCTTATGATGGATGCCTTGCCACTTTCTGGAAAATTCTCAGCATTATGTCTCTCCTATTGTCTCTCCCCACCTGTCTCCTATTAGAATTTGGCTAGACCAGGTCATCCTTAAAATTCTAGCTGCCATAGTTGCCATCTGTTTTTGCTGCTTCTGCGTAATTTCTTCACAGCTTTTCCTTGACTGCCTCTCTCTCCAGCTTTCTAATGGTGTGAACCTTCACAGCTCTCGGAGGTTGAGTGGTGGTCCCTGAAAAGAGAGGTCCACGCCCTACTCTCTGGAGCCTGTGACAGTGGCTTTATTTGGAGAAAGAGCCTTTGCAGATGTAATGAAATGAAGTTTAACACAGAGAATCAAGAGAGAAAAGGCCACGTGAAGAAAGACGCAGAGATCAGAGCGAAGCAGCCACAGCCAAGGAGCACCTGGAGCCACGGGAGCTGGAAGAGCAGGAAGGACCCTCGCCTGGAGCCGTCAGCGAGCGAGTGCCTGCTGATAACTCGACTTCTGAGCGCCCAGAAGTGTGAGAGGACACGTCCCTGTTGCTTTAAGGCGCCGTCCGTGGTACTTGGTGCCTGCAGCCCCCGGAAAGTAATATAACATCGGATGCTGTTTTTATGTCACTCACGCCTTTTATTTTTTAAATGAGCTTTTTATTTTAGAATAATTTTAGATTCGCAGGAACGTCGCAGAGATAGTCCAGAGAACTCAGTGCAGCGCAGGCCAGCTTCGCGGATGTTACTACCTGACATCCCCACAGAACATGTGTCTCCATAAGCAGCCGACGCCGGACCCTGCTCCCAGCTAACGGTGGGCTTTCCTCGGGTTCCCGTTCTCCACGGCTGTCCTTCTTCTGGTCCAGGGCCCCCCACTGCATTCAGTCCTCTGACTTGGGACAGGTCCGCAGTCTCCTTGTTCTCCATGACCTGATGGTTTTGAGGCACCCTGACCGCTCACCCCATCTGTACACCCGACTGCGCTGACTCTAGGCATCTGGGGGCAGCGAGGTCCACGGACTGACCGTGCAATGTGTCCCCTGCTCACCCTGTCACCTCTGTGTGGAGTTCACACTCCGCTGTCCTGGTGGGACTGCCAGCAGGTGCCAGGCCCTCAGCCCACGTTCTGGCTGGACATCCTCTGGGACAGAGCAGGGAGCAGCACCAGGCGCGGCCTGGGCTTTGCATTTACAAGGACTCTCCACCGGAAGCTGACTGCTCTGCAGCAGGAGGAGCGTTCAGGTTCTTAGATGTGGCCAAGCAGGAGCCTCTCCCCCCGCCCTTGGAGTCTCTCAGCCACTGCTGCTTCCGGACGCCTCTGAGGGTCGGTCAGGCTCCGTGCTGAGGCCTCAGCAGAATTCCTGACTCAGGATCCCTGGACATCGAGAGTCAAACACCCCCCAAAGGAATGCCTACCCGACCCACTGGCACACAGAACCCTGCCTGGTAAATGGCATTTTGGTAAATGGCAGCTCGAGCCCGAAGTCTTGGGTCACCTTTGATCCTTTTATTTCAGTTTCACCTACATCCAAGCAAGTCTGGTCAGTTCTACAACGGAGTTGGGATCTAACCACCGGCGACCCAACTTGCTGCCCAGCCCTCTCGTGTCCATGGTCTCCATCCACCTGTCCGAGCCCGCCCTCCCCGGGCCGGCTTTTGGCCGAGGTGCACCCGCCTGCAGCCCACGTCGGCGGCACAAAGTGCTTCTCTCTGTTTGAGCCGGCCTCGAGAGCCCTCCCTGGGCCCCGTGCTCCGATCGGGCAATGCCCCGTCCTCTGCTTCTCGTCTCCCGTCTCTCATGGAGATTTTAAAATTTCTGCTCCTCTCATCCTCCTGGCCACCCCCTTGAGCACCTCCTTGAGCCATGAGCCCTCTGCTTCCCCACAACCACCATTCCCTCCAGAGGCTAAACTGGAGGTCTGCCTGGTCAGCACCCTGACCTCCCACCTGCTCATACACCCCTCATGTTGCCTCCGGGGCACTGTGCACCCTGGACCCTGCTTGTCACACAAACCTGCCTCTGGTCACGCCTGGAGCCCTGCAGGCCAGGGGCTCAATCCCAGGGCTGACAAGTCCTGGGGGTCTTGCCTCCAGGACGCTTGACCAGCCTTTTCCTCTCCTTCCCTAGGACTCCCACCTGGGCCGTCTCCGGCTCGGGAGTCAGGGGGTCAGGGAGTAGGGGCAGAGCATGGGCTGCCTAAGCTGCCCGTGGCACCCCTCCTCCCTGCCTCCCCTGCCTGGCCCATGGCTGCTCCTTACCACCCACAGGGCCCCTCGGCTTGACCCTCACTGCCCCACCAGTGACACCCTGATTCTTGCCCCTCACCACTCTGCTCCCGCCTGACCTCCCTTTCGCCTCCTGGATATCTATCCTATGGCATCTGCCTCCACCACTACCCCGGCCACCCTTTACTGCGGTCTCTGTTCTGGACGTAGACTCCGGGACAGCGTCTGCTTCAGCCTCATCGCTGCTGTGTCTCCAGTGTCTGCCCACAGTGCGCGCTCAGACTGACAGATGTGACTAAAGGAACGAACCCGGGGCAACAGCCCCTCCAAACTCACTCAGCTTTGCTGGGCTTGGGGCTCGGGGCCTCTGAGGCATCGTATTCCCGGACGTCCTTCAGCTCCCGAACCTGGCCTGTCAGCACCTTGGCAGCAAAAGCCACGATGTACTGTGGAGGGGGAGACGCAGGTAAGAAAAGGGCCTCCCGGCCACGCTGCCCTCTGAGGGCCCCGCTCCTGCCACAGGCCCTCCGCACGGCTGTTCCCGTGGCCCAAGGTGCCCCCCCGCCCCCGGGTGTGCCTGAAAAGGGCCTTCACCTGGACCTCGGCCCAGGAGAGGGACAGGACTGCCAGCGGAGGGAGGAACTGGAGGAGGCCGACTCACCAGGAACCAGTAAAGGTTCATGACAGTGAGGAGCAGCAGGAGCGCATTGAAGAAGAAGTAGAAGGGAATGTCAGGCACCGAGCGCAGGCTGCAGTGGCAGGTGGCATACAGGACCTTGAGTGGGAACCAGTAGAGGCGGAACCAGAACCTGTGGTGGGAATAACAGGCCAGGGAAGCTGTGGGCAAGGGAGGGAGGGTGGGTGGTGGCCCCACCCAGTCTCTGCCCAATGCCCTCGGGCCTCACCCATCTGTCCCTGCTCCTCCTCACCCATCCTTGTCTGGTTGCCCCCGCCCCCCCCTTATCTCTATTCCTGCTCTGTTCTTT